AAGTAATTAGTAAAATAAGTAAAAACATTATGAGGAAAGCATCTTCATGAGTCTTTGGGGCCTGGAATGCACTGATAGAGAGTGATGGAGGAAGGTTCGATGGTAGCATTCAAATAGGTTATAAACTGGAGCTCTAGTGCAGACACAATGAGCCGATTGGCTTCCTGCTACATGGCAGCAATACTGTGAATTGTATATATTCAGTGATCAATTAAGCTTTAAAATCAGATTGGAGAAAAATCAGCTCCTCAAGAATATTTAATTCAACTGCAGAAATCGTCCAATGTAACAAATATTGTGCAATTCTATGACACCACCTAAATTACGTGATTAAAACGTTACGCATTCATTTTATGATTTTATCTGAACTCTACAAGATTATAGGTTACCAGTAAGTTGCGATAAACATACACATACAATTCAATTTACACTGAGTTCAAAACATAGCTTATATGTCAGAAGGCAAAAGAAAATGCTGGATTTAGAAATGATTTGCCACATTTATATCATTCATATCTGGACATCTTTGTACTTGACAAAACTCTCTTTTTTCAAACCAAGTTTAGATTTCTAAATAATTGCATTAAACACCAAGATTTATTTTTGGCCAAAATTTCAACTAGCTGAATTTGAAACTGAAACTTTAGGAATGGGAAAGCTCTCCAACTCCAGCAGTAAAGAGTTAAAGATATTTTATAGTAACCAAATTAATTTGGGTGGAGTGTCCAAAACAAGGCTAAATAAAGAGGAAATCCTATATTTAGCGACCAAAGCGTGTACACATTGGGTAAACAGCAACAATAGCCAAAAGCTAGCCACCCACAAGCACATGATCTGCCAAATATTATGATTTCAGAAAATCTGGTAAAGAAACATGGATAGAAAGCCAGCTTATTCAATTAATTTTATAGATTTGATTAATAATAAATAAACTGGGCTTGACTGAAGCGACTTTGCCAATAAAAGTGGTACATATTCAAACAATTAGCCCTTAACAGATTTAGGGAAATGTAGAAAATCAAGCACTTTCCTACATATTTATAGCTTTGGTGCCTTTCATTAAATATTTACCTGTAGAAAATGTTTTCTTTTAACCTCAGGAGTGGGTCACAAGGTGCTCCATTTGTTTTGGTCATAACATAGCTGTTATTATAAGGAAGTGAGCTTGAAGCTTTTCTGCCTAGCACAGCAAAATCAGACAGACTCTTAACTTTCTCTGCTACTCGTAACACGTTAAGGCAAGAAAACCCAATTAAATGGTGGCACCCGGGGACCTCCTCCTGACATTGAAGGAGAAATTATTTTTTCAAGGTACATGAAATTGGCTGTTTTAAAGACTTTTAATGCAACCATAATGGGCCTTTATGTGAGGAATTCACATTTCTACTCTACGTCCTTTGACAATCCAAGTACAGTCACAGGTTTTGGACCTTATGAAAAATTTTAGCTCATAAACTTCATAATTTCTCAAATAAATATATGGCGTGATGCAGATGAACCAATCAGTATCAAAGAACCCAGGCGTTCTTTAAACCATTACTTCATATCCTGAAGTAAAAGCTTACTATTGCAGTTTATAATATTCATTTGATGGCGATGGATCTAAGCCAAATTACTTCATCATTACAGGACAACAAAATGTTGATGGAGTTAAGAGAGAGTGCTCTTATGTTTTCAGTAATCAAGTTTGGACTTGCAGTTTTTTTTTATTTTAAAATTTTCACCAGGACCGATCATTTCATTTAAAATTACATTCCAGCCTCCTGTGATATTTAAAAATTACTTTTGGGCGATAATAGGTGCAGGTGTGGTGGGAAGAAGAATGTGAATTGTCTATGGGAAAAATAGACTTGCATTTGTGTGGTGCCTTTCAAGACTTCAGCGCAAAGCACATTAAGACCAAAGAAATAGATATTCACATGTAGTCAATGTTGCAATGTAGAAACATGGCAGCCAATTTGTGAACATCAAACTTCCTCAAGGAGCAACATGATAATGATCAGAAAATTAGTCCCTTGTCTTCAAATTTGTGAGATGTGATCCTTTACTTCCAACCAATGCCAGAAGTGGCCTCAATTTAACATTTTTTTCAAAGATTGTCACTTCTGACAGTGCTGCATCCCCTATATATTACATTACGATGTCATCTCAATTTTGTGTTCATGTTTCAGAGTGGAACCTGAACCCAGAGTCTTCAGACTCAGAGGCAAGTGTGCTACCAACTGAGTACATATTGGCAGACATATAATTGAGGTTGTAAAATTTATAAAAACACTTGGTAAGGTTGAATAGAAGAAGTTATTTCCACTTCTGGTTCCACCAGAACAAGGGGTCATAAATATCAGATTGTCACTAGTTAATCCAATAAGGTATTCAGGAGAAATGTCTTTATTCAGAGAACGGTTAAAACATGAAACTGTTAATGCGCCTAGCATTGATACAGTTAGGGGAAGCTTAAGGAGTCTAGGACGAGGAGGCAAGGCCTATATATGAGAGTTAGATCTTTCAAGCATCAAATCTTTTGCACACACTGGGTGCTAGAAATTTGGAACTCTCTCCCACAAATGACAATTAATGCCAGATCAATTGTTAATTTTAAAATCTAAAACTGATTTTTTTTAATTGCACGTAATAGGGGATTATGGGACAAAGCAGATATCTGGAGTTTGGATTGCAGATCAGTCACAATCTCGATGAATGGTAGCACAGGGTTAATGGGCTAAACGACCTACTGCTATGTAGCTAGAAAAACACAAGGGAGAAAGGAATGCAAGGATATGTTGATGGGCTTAAAAGAGGGAGGGTGGGTGGAGGACCTTGAGAAGCATAAACACTACCATTAATCTATTAGGCTGAATGATCTGCTTTTGTGCTGAAAATGCTTTGTGATAGTGTCTTAATTATTCTACTTCAAATAACTGAAGATAGAGAGGTAGTGGCCTGAATTGCGGATCTAGTTCCCTCTTCTTGGAAGTCTCTCATTTTAAAATTCTCATCCATTTAATTCCTTTCAGGGTCTCAACCATACCACTGCAAAATTCTCCAAACTTAATACATCTCCTGCCAAAGCTCATTTCAGCACTTCTCCATTACTTTTTGCTGCTTCATTGCTGCCAGCATCTTCTGCCACCTAAGCACCATGCCCTAAAATTTCCTCCCCAAAATCCTTCTCTGATCCATTTGTTAAGAGCTTTCTTAAAGCCCACTCCCCCACTTCTGATAAGACTTCTGTTCCACCACCTAACTCCCAATGCACAAATTGGTATTCCAGAAGCTCTTAATGGAATGAATTTGAACAGCCAAATGCCTATTTCTTGTTCAAGACTTTATGTCTTGCACTCCAATTAGTGACGATAGCTATTTGGTGACCTCATGTTGTTAAAACCCTCGCTGATTTTCCATTATTTTTATTTTATTCTTTAATCAATTTTGGTTTGAAGCTGTGAATTGGGAATTGTGACTTTTGGACTGTGGATAACAGCTTATTGTTAAAGGGAAACAGATCAAACAAGCTTTTGTTTATTTGAGAGGCCAGGATTGGAAGTTAATTGCAGGTTGGTTCTTGATCAAAATGCTCTGCAGATGCTTCATTACTGGGGAAGAGCATTATGTTTGAACAGATAGCAGAAGTTGGCTTTAATGAGGTCAGTATCTGGGAATCAGCTCCAGCAATTCTGGACAAGACCTTATGCTCAAGCAGATGGCAGATGTTGAATTCTAAACAAGACCTTGTGGAGGAGACATTCTGTCCAGGAGTGGTCGAAGTTTAAACGGGTTTTGGACTGTGTTTTCTAGGGAAAAATAATCTGGCTGTTGATGCTACATCATTGAGATTTGAAAGCTTCCTGCCTAACCTCCCAAGAGCAGCTCTTGGAAGCTTAGAGAATAGAAAACGAAGTTGGAAGTATCACTGCCTTTATCTGAGTGAACTCTAAACATGACCCTGATCAACATCTTCAGAAAATGAACCAAGAAACCACCATCTATGCCTGTGGAACAATGCATTGTGAAAACTACTTAAGTAATTTAGATAGTTTTGTCATTTTATTTATCCATTAATGGTGTATTTCTGTGTCTTTTGTATGAATTGGGCTGAAAACAAAGTCTGTGAGGTTTAAAGCATACAATAGTTAGATTACTTGGTTGTTTAATTTTTGACTGCTGAAGTTAATAAGCAGCTGGATCTTTTGTTTAAGATACAAACAGGAATTGATTATTTGCAGAGTCTGGCATCGGTTTTTCAGCAGTCTGGTTAGGAATCATTGGGGTCAATTTTGAGGGTCTTTGAAGGTTTTAATTTTACTGTGTTGTAAATACAGAGGTAGAAAGGCTGACTGTCTCCATATTATAACAAAGTGCCCAGCAACTGTAGAAAGAGAGGAGATTCCAGAACTGATTGCCATTCAAGATATTCCTCCCCTGGTGGCTGCTTTGTGTCATGGATCAGGACCTATGCCATCTTTGAAAGACAGACTGCAAAGTATGAACAAAAAGAGCATTATAGCAAGATCACCTCATAATTTGAGGACAACAAAGTGCAATTATCTGAAGTTGAATCTATATAAAAGGTCCCAAGAATCCTAGATGAGAATGGTCAAGTTGTCACTGGTTAAAAGAACAGTTTAGCTCTCGGAATAGCCAGTAAAGGATATGGAAAAGGTCACACAATCCACACTCAATTCCTAACTGAGATGATCTACATCACTTGGGGTCATACATTTTGGAATCAGGAAATTGGGTAAAGTAAGAGTAAAACAAAATTAAAACATTATTTATTTCTGTGACTCTTTTCATTGACTCCCTTTCTTAAAGTGTTGATGCGTAGGAGCATTTCCTGGCAGTAATCATATATTGGCACACACACCAATAACAAACTAGTTGTGTGGTTCCTGGCAACATGTGAACCCACGGAGGAAATTATTACATTGTAAATTGTTCATGAAAGGAATTGCTGGGTTGGTGCTAAAGGAGAGGAATAAAAACCATAGGTGCACATTACATACAAAATATACAGCCCAGATTTATTTAGATCCTTGAGAGGCTACATATTTAAAGAAATTATTTTTACAATATGTACATTAAATCCTAATATAAATATATTGCAATCACAGATGAAACTGACTCAAGTCTTCCAATAGAAAAAATTCCCTTGATTGCTCATTCTCAGCTGCTGCAACACCTGCCTGTGAAACCACCAGTTAGAACTGAATACTGTACATCAAAAATTGATAGTTTTTGGAAAGAATGGTATCTGCCAATTCCTTTGAAATTAATTGAAAAAAATCTGCATTAACAGTTTAACTGTTTATACCTTATAATGCACTGGAAGAATTATTAAAGTCTTGAAGAAGGTAATGGCCAAAAGGCATGTTTTACACTACAATGTTTAATCCATTTTCCAACAACAATTACACCTCTCGACAGTCATAAAAAAACTGACGTATTAAGAAGTTACTCGAATGTTCTGAGTAAAATGTATCTAGAAGATAAGGGACTGAAGAAGATTATTTAGAACAGATCGTTCAGCATGTCAAGGGAAGGAAAGAACTTTCCAAACACAAAATGAATCTGGTTTCTCGTACTGAAATGCAGACTTCCAGATTTATGTTGCAGTTGTGCATTTCTTGACTCCAGAGGTTTCAAATGCATAATATTTCAGAATATTCAAACACATTCTCGATTACACTTTGTGCCTATTTCAAAACAACAGCTGTGGTTCAAAATGAAAATTGAAAAAGGGATGCAGCCTTTTTAAAGTAAGGAATTTCTGCCACATTCTATTTGATGCCATAGAAAAGTTTTTTTTTGGGTTCAATTGCAATTGTACATTAGTAAATTCTGCACAGACAGATAAAACAGCAGCTCCTAACCAGGTATGTATAGAGCTGATTTGCACAATGGTGTAATTCATGAATAAATCAGGACACAAAGTGTTTCCCTACATAGGAAACTTTTAAATGCCAAGAATACATCGTACAGAGCAACACATAAAAATAAGTCATCTTAAATACTGGAGGTGCTTTCAACATACAGCTCTACTTTTCAGTCTTAATCCCTTTAGCATTTTGTCTTGCTTCCAGTCCCACTTCCTTCACCAAACAGTTTTGACAACCAGCAATTTAACGTCGTCTGAACGCGCGCGAGATTCTCCAGGCGTTGGGCTCTTCGTAGCGGTTGTACAGGGGCTCCAGCCTCTGTTGTTTCTTTTGCTTGCTGAGTTTAGTAGGGTCAGACACTTTGAAGAAAGCCGGTGCAAACTCTACTAGCCAGCGTGGGTCAATGGTGGTCACTTCTCGCATGTATTCCTTAGTAGTCAAGACAAGTTCATGATATACAACCCTGAAAGAAACATATAAATATTTTATATGGTTGTCAAGCAAGTTTTGTTTTGTGAATTATAATTAAAAACAAATGACTGCAGATGCTGGAAATCTGAAACCGTCACAAAGTGCTGGAGAAACTCAGCAGGTCTGGCAGCATCTATGTAGACAGAAACAGAGTATATGGTCAAATCTGGTATGACTTGTTCAGAGCTGTGAATTGTAGCTTCTCACATTTGGGAAACAACTTGAGCTTTATCACACGTGGTTCAAAATAACAAACATAAATACAGCCGCATACACAATCTCCATTAAAGCAAGCTGATTTAAAAAAAAAAAAAATCTTCTGGCTAGTTATTAACAATGAATGTAACAATGCATTCAGGGGACAGAAAAAAGATGGAAAGAACTTGAACCTTCTTCAGAACCTTAGTTTGAATCAACACATATTAATGGGCTGAAAGTTTCTTCTTTGTTGGCTGAAAATCATCTATAGTCTGACAAAACCTTAATACAACTCAAAAGATCTACATTTATATCGAGCTTTTCATGACCACTGGATACCTCGAATACTTTACCAACAACAGAATCCTTTTGAAGTGTAGTCATTGTTTTAATGTAGAAAACATAGTAACTAATTTGACATAGCAAGGTCCAACAAACGGTAATGACTGGATCTGTTTTTGTTTTCTAATGTTGATTGAGGAATAAATATTAGCCTGGGCTCTTTCTTGAAGTACACCAACTAAGAAAGTAGGCAGGGCTTCCAATAAACAGCTCATCCATAAATTGGTACTTTTTGGCATGGGGCTTGAATCCACAACTTTCTAACTCTGAGACATGAGTGGTATCAACTGAGCCAAAGATGGGGCTTAACTCAGCACAAATTGTGAAGAGAATGAATATTGAAGATGGACAGGGTGCTAAGTCGGTTGCTTTGATGTGAATGGCTTATGAGCAGACTAGCAGAGAGTATTCCATCATATTCCTGACTTGTGCCTTGTAGTTGGTGAACATGCTTTCAGAAGTCAGTTACTCACTGCAAAATTCTCAGCTTTTGACCTCATCTTGTTACCACTGAATTTATCGCTGGCTTAGTTCAGTCTCCAGAGTTTGCAACACTTAGGGTATTGACAGCAAGGGGTTCAGCTATGATAATGCCCTTGAGTGTAAATGGGAGATGAATAAATTCTCTCTTTTTGGAGTTGGTCATTGGCGTAGCAAAAGTGCCAGGCAATACCATTTGCCACTTATCAGCCAGAACCTGAATTTTGCTGTGTACGAATGTGGATTGCTTCAATAATTGAGGAGTCCCAAATGGAGCTGAAAATTTGTACAATCATCATAGAACTTCTGACTTCATGATGGATGGAAGGTCATTGATGAAGCATCTGAAAATGGTGGGGTCTAAGACCCTCCCCAAAAGAAATCTTGCAGAAATGTCCTGCGACTGAGATGAATGACCTCTAACAACCACAATCATCCTCCTTTCCATGAGCTTTGAAATCAACCAACTGAGAGTCTTAGTCTTACCCCTCCCCCCACCTCCATTCCCATTGCCCCTAGATTTGGTTAGACTCCTTGATTGCATTTGACTGGGTGCACAGCCTTGATATCAATAGTATGGGGTAAAAATCTTTCATCCCACAAACAGATTCCTTATTAAGCAGCATTTAGAACAGGGTGCACGGGGATCAAGCAGGCATTTTGGGCCATGTTGTGACCATGCACTAGAGCTTAAGACAGGCCCATGCAAAAAAGATGGCAACCACCAACATCCCAATGGTGGTTCACAAATATACTCATCATATATGTCACTCCCCAGTTTTGGAAGACACCTTTCAAGACTTGAAAGGGGATTTACACGCTGACAACAATACTATTTCATTTACCACACCTTTTTGTTTTAAAAGCTGCAAGCAATGTGATTTGAAGATTTGGTCAAATAGAGTCTAAGAGAAAACTGTAAGCAGTGTTATATTGGCTTCAATGCAGCTCTGCAGAAGAAAACATCAGAAAGAAAAAACCATCTCAACCGATGAGATGATCTGTCTCATTTCCCAACTCCACTCCAGGCACCAGAATAAGCCCAGTGGCAGAGGCCTTGACAAGAACTAACTAGTGTAAAGCGTGGAGCTGCTCACTTGAAACAAAGCCTGGAATTAGCAAGGCTAAACCCGAAGGACAAGATGAAAAATATATGAAGTTCCCAAAGAAGCTTTGTGATGCTCAATTAAAACATGCGAAGAGGGAGCAAAAACACTTTTAGAAAATGAGCAACTAAAATAGACTTTATATATAAACATCACACACACAGAAGAGAGGCAAAAATAAGAAATAGACGGATTTATAGCGCAAGAAGAAATTTAGTTATTTCTTCAAATAAAACAAAGACTTGCAAACTGACATCTGCAAAAGGCTATTCATGCTACGCAGACAGAATGTCAATTCAGGCTGCCAAATGTAGAAAATCAATTAAATAAACGGGGGAAGTGACTCACTTAGCCCAAAGGGCTTACCATACCACAATTCACTGTGTAATATGGGCTGACAGTATTCACAAGCCAATCAGAAGACAATTCCTATACTGAAGTAATCCATCATGGAGTTTCTATCACTTTCATCCACTGAAACAGGGGGATTCCTGCTAGACAGTTCTAAGCACTTTATTCCTTTTCCAATCTCACAAAAGGCCAATCCTAAAACTTAAAGCTACTCTTTACCATCGTTTTCAAAAAATTTATGATTTACTCTCTTCATCAACTTCATTGACAGTGTTCCACTGACTCCTGGGGAAACATTCAATATCTCCTAATAATAAAAGTATAATATTTTGGATGCTAGAAATCGGAAATAAACACAGGGAATACTGAAGAAGCTCTTTGGAGACAGAAACAGAATTAAAATTTTGAGTCCAGTATGACTTGTTCAGAACTGAAGAACGATGCTCTGAAGGACAATCACACCAGAGTCAAAACATGTGCTTGATTCACAATAACAGGCTTTTACACTCAAATTGCGCCAGTTGTCTCAGTGCTGACCCTATCTCAGATCCATGGAATGTAAATATTCATTTTAAAACCAAAATGGGTACAAACATAGGATGAATGGATTAAAGCATGACCTTTCACATTTGGTGTCGAGTTTTAAAATTAGTCCTGGCTAATAAGTTGACACCTTCTTTAGTTTAGCAAAGTACAGTTTGGTCAGTCTCATACTAATTTCCCAAGAAAGCTCTGGTTAATGGTACAAAACTCAGAATTGAGCAGTTAATTGGATTTTAATATCCTGGATGTGCCTCTCATTACCAACTACTAAAAGAACCAAGGTTATAAATTACTGATCATACGTGCAGCCAATTCTCAGCACAACTATATTAACGGAGGCATTAAGTTGTTCAGCTCACCATCCACTAACATCAACAACATATTCGTAGTTCTACAGCCTTCCCTTGTGACTCCAAATGTTGTATCTTCTACAAAAGATGCAAATACAAACTGAAGTACAGTGCCATTTTTAATAAAACATCCCAATGTCTTGCCCTAAGCTTTTCATGAGTGAGCTGCAGTGAATGTTAGCAAATTATTTAAAATAAATGTTGAACAGCCAAACCAGATTTGTTTATTGGCATTTGAATATCAAACTTTTATTCTGGGGGGAGTACATGGTGGGTCAATGGTCAGCAGTCTTTCCTCTTGAAGCCATCAAGTATGGAACCCAGTTGTGCCCCATCTATCATAACCAGCTACTGCTGAACTCCAAGATCTTACTGGTACTGGTCTGTATCGTACAGCATCACACACAATGCTTTCATTCAGTAAGCCATCAAGAGAACGCGGTCATCCTTATAAATACCACAAATACGCATCATGTAAACTGTTTACGTGTACTACAGACACTGTAGTAAAATTTTACTGTCACACTCACTTTGGAAAATATCACGGCAGAAAAAATACATCAGAATTTAAGCTGTGAAAAAGGACATGCTGTAAGAGAAATTACCTCAATGTCCCACTTGGGAAATGTAACTTTCTGGAATATTTGCAGAATATTTCAGTAATAACATGATAGCAGATAATGGCATCTCACTGGTGCCATTAAATAAATAGCAAGGTTCAGCTTGTCATTCAACATGAAGGATAAGTGTATGATTTGGGAAAGACCTAGCCATGAATTAATTGTTTGTTTTAAAAATATGGCAGATCATACAGTGGGAAATATTTAACCAGAGGTAAGTAATGAAATACTTTTCTGGGTGAAAAAAGAGATTCATGAGTGAAGAGAAATTGTGGCAAATATGTTTAAGATTCAATTTGTAAAAACAGCGGAAAATAATATTAAGAAATAAAAATAGCCAGAAAGAAAACAGCGATCTAGGCAGATAAAAGTGAATTTGAGATAAGCATAAGGGGGTAAAAGCTAAAAGATTCTACAGATATCAAAGGAATAAAAAGATTGTCAAGGATGGAGTGGGAGCATGTGGAGACAGGGAAACCATCTTATAAGAGAGAATGAAGGAATGGCAGTAACATTTAAATATTTTGTTTCAGCAGTAAACAGGCAAAATTAATCTAATAAAGTTCATGATTCAGACAAACACAAAGCGAAAAGATATCAAAGTTTGTGGATAGAACAAAAAGTTGAATGGAGTGAGATGATGCGACAGATGAAGAAAAACATTAAGTAGTGTTTATTGGGATATTAGTAAATAAAAATATGCAACCAGTTTTGAATTTGTAAATGACATTGGTTATTTTATACTTGGAGTACAGAGTACAGTTTAGGTCATGCATTATTGGAAGGACAACACTGCTGTCAAAGGAGTTCAATAAAGATGTAACAGAACCACAAAAAACACAATGAATGAACAACTTTGAAATGGAACTGAGAAGATTAGAGAGACTGTAGAATCCTAAAATTATGGACTGACAGGATTAAAAGTGCTTTGAGATATTTTGAAATTGTCAGCAAAGTAGATACGATCGACATTAGCTCAAGACAAAGGAAAAAAGGCACAAATTAGAAGAATTCATTTCCAAAACAGAACAGCAGTCTAAAATGAGTAGCTATTGAGACAGAGAATATGGCATCATTTAAAATGGATAGAGTCATATGCTGGTTAAAAGACCAGCATGTAGATCTACTAGAATATGTGGACAGTCAAAAACATGCCCAAATCTTGTATGGCTGCTCTTCCTTCAAGCAGAACAAGTTTCGAGAGTCAGACAAGTTGGGCTTTGTTTGCAATTTGAAGAACTTCATGTTTATCAGAAATTTAATCAGCAGTATTTCGTCATTGTTTGCAGGTAAACAGATCTCAGCAATACTAAGTGAGCCAGACCCACCAGTCTGCAGAGACATTGCGCATGATGGTTAGTTTTGGCACAGTGATTACCTCATTAAAATTACATACCATTCAGGCTGTCTGTTGAAGAGAGCGCTGGAGGGGTGAATGTACACCACCTGCTGGTCAATCAGTGTACGGTATCCCTCCTGTGGGTCCTTCTTAGCTGCATTGCGGAAGAAACCACTGCAGATTGCTTTCTGAACTCGCACTGTGGCTTTTCCACATGAAACAACATCCAGCTTATGTCTGTAAGGAAACCGTAAAAATTATGAGAAAACATTGATTTAAAGGCATATATTTACCTAAAAACATCCAGCCCAGACTTTTTTTAAATCTACCTGCCATTTTTAAAAAGACCTGCATTTATATAAGCACCTTTCACATTTACCACCATCCCAAAACACTTGACAATCATTGAAATACTTTTGAAGTGCTGTCACTGTTATCATATTGGAAACAAAGGATCTAATCTGTACTTGGTAAACTCCCACAAACAGCAATTAATAATAACCAGATAATCGGTTCCTTTCTGAGATGATGACTGGAGGATAAATCTGGGCCCAGAGACTAGGAAATATCTTTCTGCTCTTCTTCAAAATAAAGTCACGTGGCCTTTTATATACAGCTAGGCAAGCAAACATACAGCTTAACATCTCACCGAGAAGGCAGAACTCAACAGTATAGTACTCCCCTAAAACTATATTGGAACATCAGCCTTTGTGTGATTTTTGTCCTCAAACTTTGGACCTAGAACCCTGTGACTCAGGCAAGCGAGCTACAGATCTAGCCATGGCTAACATATCAGCATAATTTATTTGAGCAGGTGGTAGACAGTATATGTCTGCTCATTAACAGGTGGACATGTGAACAAGAAATGCAAATAATGGAAGTATAACATCCAATATACCTCCTTTACTTGTGTTAGATCAAAGCTGGGTGCAAAAAACATCTGCAGGTCTCTAACACTTATGTATACAGATCTCCTCATCCCCTGTGGGAATTTGCCTTGCAGATAGGGTCTGAATATATAATATCATAATGTACCTGTACAAGATAAGGAGGGAGAGGCCAGAGGTTGTGAAAAGCACTGCTGTATAATAAACATAAGTTCTTTCTTTTTGGGTTAGGAGCACAACAACATATCAGGACATGGAATCCTGTTCTGCTCTCCTGACAAAAGGTGCTTCCCCATCAATGACAGTGATGGCATGGCCAAATCATCTCAGTTGCTGATGTACTCAACATGGGTTTAAATATAATGCATAAAGAAATGCAGGTGCACATTGATTAGATCAAAAATGGCACAACTGCAACCAGTACTTTAACAAGGTGTCCATTTCAGTTTTCCAAACTAAAAGCAACACATATATAAAACACTGCACCACAAGACCATAATCTAAGAAACTGTACTGACATCATTATCCACAAGGTATTTTTCAGTCGTGCCTATCACATTAATTTACATTCAAAACATTACCCTCCAGCATTTTACCAAGTTTAAGAAAACGTAATCATTTGGGAATAAAGATTATAGAGGAAATGCAAAGAAGACTGAAGCAATGGATTTGTAGGATTCTATGAAAATTGAAATGTTTTTAATACTATTTTCACTGAAATACCAAATTTTGCTCAAGCTTATTCCTTGTTAAAACTAATGATGTGTGGCAGGACACTCATAAGAAGCAATTGCTGCAAATATGGACATGAATTTATTTGGAATTTACTGTATCACATTCACAGTATAACCAGTACAAGGTTATAATCAAATGTGTTTATTCTTTTAAATATGGCACAGAGTAACTTCAATAGCATGACAATTTCTGGCAGGGTTACAAATATACTTTGTAAAAAAACTTAGGAAAGAGGTGTACACAGAATGAATGCCAAGAAACCTAATCATTGGTGCACTGAATAAAGAAATGGGCACATTTTTGTTTGTGTATTTATTATTTTCTCTTGCTTCCCTCATCAACAGGTTAGTCTTGTTTTTCTACTGATACACTACTAACTCCAGTTATATTACGCTCACACTACATACTTAGCAGGGAATGGTGGGAACACTGTTTCACAGAATGCCTTAGCATTAATAAATAGTCAAGTCCTGAAAGGTATTGAGGCCACTCAATTCCACCCACTCAAAGTAAGCATTGCACTGAAACAGATGTGTCTCAGATTGCTTTTGTGCATTTTCCAGCAGCTGATAACAACGCTACACACAGCCGGATACCTGAAGTCTGGGGTATTATTTTTCCATTCATCCTCCTAGTTAGGAAATCTGCACATCTTATGGAGACTATAGAGAACGAAATAAGTGAAAAACGTCTGGTGATGCTATCAATTAAAACTACGTACTATTTAATCTGCTCATGTAGTGAGAATATGTCGTTATATATACAAGTTCATTCATTATAGGTTTTGTTTGTTAAGACCGATAAATGATAGATTCAAAATTACGTATTTTGTTTAACTTCATTTGCTTAGAAATGTACTCCCGACAGTGACAAGGCATTTCCCTCTACCTGTCCATGATACCCAGCATCTGTTTACGGATATCCTGTGCTCTGCGAAGGGAACGCGCTTGGATGAAGTTTTCATAGCACCAAGGGTTGGAAAATTTATTGTTTTTCCACGAATTGTAGACAGCAAGCAAGGTGAGATGATCCCCTTCTGCTTGGTGGAACTTTGCTTTCTTCTGATCTGCAAGAGCTTGCTTGTCCTAGTTTTGATTTAATAGCACATATGAACAGTTGATGAGTGAAAGCAGACTGAATAGCTAACTGCGCCTTTAAACAGAAAGATAAAAATGTTGGAAGTCTGGCATAAATATTGAGAATACTGAAATGCAAAGTCAGTTAAATCTGTAAAAGGAAAGGTAAATTAACAATTTCGGTCTCTAATTAGTACTGTTCTAGTGTGGTTTCTATAATGGTTAGCCTGTCCTAGGCTGACAGAAGTTTTATGTATTGCCAACATATATTTTTAATTTTAACTAACATTTTCAATCTTTGGGTCTATGCTTTGGTGGATCAACAACAGAGTCTTCCATTTATTTTAAGGCTTCTGCTTTTTGAAAAAAAGATGGTTTGGTTTCTCAAGCACATTGTAGAAACCCAGGTATCTTACAATAAAGTTCCTTACTTCTAAAACGTATTTCGCTGGAACGTCATTGTTTAAAGAAAAGTTACTGGCAGAAATAGGTTCACAATCTAAATCCATGAATATCCTATGGATTTACACAGAGTATTTTACAATATTGACACATTAGTCATTCACAGGTCATCAAAAATCCAGCACTTTCCATCATTAATCCAGATAAGTGTGCTCACCTTTGGTCGGTAAAAGACATTTTGTACAGATAGCATGGACACAATTGTTAACATCTCTTCACTGCATCCAAGATGTACAGACATGATCAGCATTTTACATAGCATGGGCTCCAGAGGAAACTCTGCCATCTAAGAAAGATGTGTAAAAATGTAACACTTTAATACCAAAGGGAATCAGAATTCAAATTTCAGCATCATTTGTTAACATGAAAGGTAGACAGGATACATTAGTCTCCTGTCACTTATTTTTGTTTAAAAAAGCACTCTGAATTATCATTCTTTACATAGTATCAATTTAATTAACTTAACATACAATTCAAATCGAGCAACTTTGAATTAGGAGTAGACTGGATCAAGCTCAGCAATGACTGATGTAGTACATGTCCATTGGACCAAAACCAGGTTTCAGACCCCATGTGACAAAGTGAGTTATGGACAAAATACGGTGGGTTATAGATCCTTTTTCTGAAAGACTTAAGTATCCGATCAGGATGAGCTCAGAGCTCAGCTCTGTCAATCAATCAAAATAAAATCAATAGAGAAACTTAAATCAACGGAAAATTTAATAAGCCTAATCACCTTGTCCAGCCAACCAATTTGGCCATTGCAAAATAATGCAGACACATCTCATCCTGTTCTATGGAAGACAGTTTTATGATCACAACGACATCAGCAAACACAGCAAGGATAATAGCTGTATGACTGACCTATGCATAGAGTAATAAATGGACCTAAATGAGAAGTGAATTTGCTCACTTCCTGCTTAGTACTTAAGAGTACTGATTTTGAAATGAACAAACTTCAGCAATTAATATTCACTTAACCTAATAAGTTAGCAAATTTTCTATTACAAAATACCCAGTCTATACAATGATATACAACAATCTTGCCTGATTCCCAACTTATTTAATACATCAATAATTATAAATGTGCAATCATACTGTCAAGTTTGAAAGTGAAGAAATGTTTTAGCATTTGGCGAACCAAACATCTGCGAGGTTCGTCTTACCCTGCGTCCAAGTCTCGTCAGCAAACCTTCATCATCTAGTGCTCCCAGCGTGTATAATTGTTCCATGGCTGTGATAAGGGTCTCCATAGGAGGAGCGTCCATGAAATCAAATGAAAGTAGGTCATTGATCCCCATAGCCTAAGACAAGGAAAGGTTTCATTGTAAAAGTACATACATCTTGAAAGCCAGTCTACAGATATTAAAACAAATAACCCAAAATATGATGCCTGCTTTTATTCAAGTCATACCTTGATTGTATAGGCCCCTTCAGACTTTGCTTCTGAACTATAAGAAGTAATATGAATGCCATCACATGCAATATTATAGTACCACAGTAGACTTCTGGTATTTACAGTACAAAGTGACACGCTACCAACTCCACAAATGAAAATTAACCACAGGATAGATTTTTAAAACTCAGAATCCTGGTGTGGAGGCCAGTTAGGTCAGCTGGTGGCATGGCTTGTACAAAAATCAGATTATGCCAATGGTTCAGGGGTCAATCTCGGTTCTGGCCGAGGTAGACTTGGGATTATATCTACACTCCATCCACAATAATAACAAAAAAACCGCATGGCACTTAGCCATGATTTGGCAAACAATTTGGAGGACCCAAGAACACAGGAAGAAAACTCCAGGCATACAGCTGTGGATACTGCAAAATCAAGAATACTTGGGTACAAAGGTCAATTCACTAAGCAGAAAACAGTATCCTGTGGGGTAAGCAGATCCTTGCATCTAAATTCCTAAATTGTGCCCCAGCATACAAAGCTCCACATCCACTGTTCCCGATGTGGCCTCCTCTACATCGGGGAGACCAAACGGAGGAACGGAGACCGCTTTGTGGAGTACCTATGCTCGGTTCATGACAAACAACACCTCCCAGTCGCGAATCACTTCAACTCCCCCTCCCACTCCCTGGACATGTCCATCCTGGGCCTTCTCCAGTGTCACAACGATGCCACCCGAAAACTGGAGGAACAGCACCTCATATTCTGCCTTGGAAGCCCACAACCTAATGGTCTCAATGTGGACTTTACTAGCTTCAAAATCTCCCCACCCCTGACCTTATCCCAAGACCAGCATCCCCTCTCACCCCCGCCTCCTTGACCTGTCCATCTTCTCTCCCACCTATCCGCTCCTCCCAGCTCTCTGACCAACGCCCTCCCCACTTCCTACCTACACTCACCTTTACTAGCTTCATCCCCATCTCCTTGGCCTGTCTGTCTTCCCTCCCACCTATCCGCCCTCCCTTATCACTGACCAACCCCCATCCGAACTTCCTACCTACACATCACCTTTACTAGCTTCATCCCCGCTTCTTTGACCTCTCCGTCTTCTCTCCCACCTATCCGCTCCACTATCCACCTTCTATCACCAACCCCGTCTCTCCATTTATTTCAGAGCCCCCTTCCCCTCCCCCATTTCTGAAGAAGGGTCCAGACCCGAAATTTCAGCTTTCCTGCTCGTCTGATGCTGCCTGGTCTGCTGTGTTCCTCCAGCTTCACACCTTGTTATCTCAGACTCCAGCATTGGCAGTTCCTACTATCTCTGAGTGAGTTATAACCCCACATCTGAAATAGGGATTTGTAAAATCTGTCACATATACAATTGACATCTCAGAATTTATGTGGGAAACTTTTTCCTCCACAAAACCTTGGAATGATAAACGCTCCAGCGCTCTGTAGCTTGCTGTAACTAAATTGAGCACGGACATCAGTTATCTAACAACAGCACCATTCAGATAACACCTTTAATGTAGGAAGTACCCAAAAGCACTTTACAGGAAAGAAGAAACAAATAAAGAAACAGACACAGAATGGGAGAAACAAGTAAAGAAACAGAAACCAAGTTTCGGGTTTAATTTGGAAGAGGTAGCTAAATTGTTCAACTGGCTACAAAAAGACAACTAAGAATACAAAATCAAACAGCAAGTCAATAGTAACTTGGAACTCAGCAATTAACCATTTAGACAGCAAGGATTAAATGCCAAATGGATTTCATTCATTTAGCAATTTCACAACTTCAAACAGAAAAAAATCAGAAGCACCTGCATTTTGGCAAATCGGTAAGACAATATTGAGTCAAAAGAGAGACTAATTGTGTCAGTGTTGCCAGACAAGGTTTTACAGAAGTGATGTTTCAAATTTAGGGAAACCATTGGCTAGATAGGAAATGCTAAAATGACCTATGACTCTAAAATCCCACTTCAATTTCAGCTAAGCAAAATCATTAATTTCAAAGGGCATAAAATGAGCAACTCTGTGGTGTCACATACAAAAGGAGCACATGTACTGGTCTTAGAGGTGCATCTGGTCTGATCTGGTGCATTCAATAACTTTTGCGGCAGTGTCTACTCACAGATTATGTTTTATAATCTTTTTTAAATTCAAATATACCTGAAACTAAATTGATCATTTTGGTCATTGTCATTGTCCTGGGTATATCAGTTATTAGATTACAAATATATTAAACACACACAAGTGAAGGAAAAAACAGAGTTAATGTTTCGGGCCCGGTGACCCTTCCTCAGAACTTAGAACTTCTGAGGAAGGGTCACCGGACCCGGAACATTAACTCTGTTTTTTCCTTCACAGATACTGCCAGACCTGCTGGGCTTGTCCAGCAACTTTGTTTTTGTTCCTGATTTACAGCATCTGCAATTCTTTCAGTTTTTATATTAAACACACAACTGCCCAATACAACAAAGATACCAACAGCATTTTGGATTTTAGAATTAGGAGCATAAAGTGTAACAGCATGGAGGTAATAAGTTTATGTAAGGACATCGTTATGCTAAAGATACAACACAGTGTGCAATTTTCAGAATATCATTACCAAAAAGACTTGAAAGATACTGAACATGTAGAGGTACTTGGATAATATCAAGGATGGGAAACTGTAGATAAGAGATATGGGACACTGAGATAACATTTACTGGAGGAAGTAAAGCTATGAAGACATTTTTTAAGAGGTTTTCAAAATTATAAAATGCTTTGGGAATAACAGTGAAGACTCAGCAATAATGGGTCAAAAATTTAATGTTGTAAGTGTGCAATGTTAACAAAATTTTAAGCAAAGAGCTATGAAACTGTGTTAAGAACAGTTACAGATGCAGTAGTTGGGGCAGAGACCATTACTTCAAGTGGGAAAATATTCCTAACAAAGAAAAAGACTGTCAGATTGGGGCCACATTATTGAGATTACTGCAGTAGAAAGCCAGCGCAGACAAGGAGGGCTAATGCTGTGATATACACTTCTATGGTTTTAAGCCACAAAGCTCAGGAATCATTATTTTAAGGGAGCTGGGATTTCAGCTTTGTATCGCCTCCCCACACTTGAACCTCATTAC